CATCCTTAATTCTTTATTCATACAATAAAATATACAGACAATATGAAATATGAGAAAAAAATAAAGATTAATCATATAAAATTTTTTTCATTATTATCATTAATTTTACAATGTTTGTTCATTACATCCTTTTACTTTTGCTATTTGTTCATTAATATCCTTCTACTCAATATATGTTTATTTTTGTCCTTTAACACAGTTGCCAGCAAAACTTGCTATCATAGTTGTTAATATATTTGAAGGTATTTTTTCAGTCACTCTTTTACCATGGGTAATTATGGGGGCAGGGGGAGGAATACATTTTGTCCCTTAATATCTTTCTACTCAATATATGCTTATTTTTTTTCCGTTAATTGATGTCACATGTCTAATGGAGAAGAAAACACACTCATCTTCTATTCTAGGCAAGTTTGGCCAAGCAGGAATTGGAGTACTTGAAAGACCTCTTGAACCCCTTGTTTGTACTCTTTAAAGAAGGCTTGAAGTCCAAGCATTATTAAAATAAAACTACTCCTTACGTGACTTTTAAGGAATTATTTGTTCCCCGCATTCTTTACGATCTTAAGTCTTTGTTTGGATTGGTGGATTTGGAAGGAGAGTGGAGGAGAGTGAGGGGCAAATGTCTCCTTTACTCTGTTTGTTTTTCTTCATTAACAGAGAAAGAGGGAGACGGTGGGATAATAAAGCCCTCTCTGCTTCTCTGTTTTCTCTCATTTCAAATTGGAAGAATTGCAAGGAATTTGATTTACATATTTAATATTTTTTAATTTTTTAAAAAATAAATATATAAAAATATTTTATTTCAATTACTGTTTCAATCAGTAAATTTTAAATATTTTATTATTTTATTTTATTTTAAATTATTTAATTAAATAAAAATATTTTTCTTTCCTCTCCTCTACTTTTATCTATCCAAACAAGATTAATAGCAATTCTTTTATTTCCTTTGCTTCTCCTCCCTTCCCTTTTCCTCCCCTCCCTTTCCTTTTCTTTCCTTTACTAATTTTTACCCAAACAAATCGTTAATGTAACTTTTTAGTTTAGGGGCTTAAAAACTACATCCTTGTAAGTTTAGGCAGCTTAAACTATAATTTAGCTAGTAGACTACTGTAGAGATTGGACAAATAATGTCAAAAAATCTTTAACATCTATTGCTTTGCTTGGCTTCGCGCGCTTCGCTTCCTATTCAAGTTGAAACCAATTAATTTTTAAAAGGAAGGCAATTGGTGCATATTTAATTTAATTTTTTTATATTTTTTAATTTAATTATTAAAAATATAATATAAATATAATTAATTTACTTAATTTTTATATTTATATATATGATTATATGTTTAAATTTATTTTTTTATTACATATTAAAAATATTAATTTTTAATAAATATATTATATCAGAATATATATATCAATAGTGTTCTTTTTAAAATTATCTTGATATAGTACTTTATTAAAATTACGTAGTTTTGAGATAATTTTTCTCCTAATATTTAAGAGGTAAGGCTGATAAACACTAATCTCTATACTCAATATGATTAGTAAATATACTCATTGAACCACTTCATCAGATCTTACTTTCGACAATTACACATAAAAGATATCATTAATTACTATCTTAAAACTTGAAAGACTCCATAATTTCACAAAGTATGATATAGACTAATGTTATATTGACCATTCATTTTTATTTTTTAATTTTAAGGATACGACTCAAACCCCATACCTGAAACTAGTACGAGAAGCTTTTACAAAAGTAAGTAGCCACTAGGCAACAAGTTGTTCTTACATTGACCCTTGATTTTATTCTAAAATGCTTTCGGCAATTACACAAAAAGAAAACATTAATTACGACTTTAAAACTTGACAGCCTTCATAATTTCACAGAGCATGGTACAGACCGGAGTTACACGGACCCTTCACTTTATTCCAAGATTAACACTTGTATGCACAAAAGCACTGCTTTGGAACAAAGGGTACAGCGGATAAATCACAGGCTCCGTTTCCATGATATTTTTGGTTGCAATCATACCGGCATCTATCCTCTCCTTTACAGTTCCAAGCTGTGTGGCAGTCTTTAGCTACAATCTTTGGAATCATTCCTTCACCTGTAAACTCACCAAAAAATAAAAAAGGGGAATACTTCTTAAATTACTAGTTAATTTAAAGAAGATAAAAAAAAAAAAAAAAATTAAGGTTAAAATACCTTTTTAGTCCCTAAACTTTCAAATGTTACACCAAACTTGTCCCTTCATTGTTATGATACTCAGCTATTTAAGTTGGTATCAAAATGGTCCGTTCCTTAAGAATGAGATGACGTGACACATTAACATTAACAGAAATTTGATCTCAAAATGGTCCCTGATTAGGTACCAAATTTCACAAGGCACAGTACTTATTTTAGTACATTTTTAGTCTTTTAACTTTAAATTTTAGTTTCAAAGTTATCTCCCCCTTAACTTAGTTAGATGGTTCTAACTGACTTTCCACAACTTCTATCCATTCTATTAACTTTCTTGATTTTCTTCAGCAATAACTCATATTCCCTTTTCAATATGGAGGATTTTTTTTTTTTTTTTAACCATATTTGAAGTTGGTAACAAAAAGATAACAAAAAAGTTAAGAGACTATTTAAACCAAAGAACAATTATGTTTCCAAGTAAACAAACAGAGAATTTCCATACTTTTACCTTAGATGGAGTAACAAGATAGGAAGTCTTACCAACGAAGAAGACAAGAAGGGCAACCAAGAGGAAGAGAGTGGTTGGTTTAACCATTACTAGAAATCGAAAAAGAAGAATAAATATTTCAAGAAAAGTTTATTACTTTCTTGAATGATACTATGTGTACAATGACTTATATATAAGTGTTTACAAAGAGAATATTCTAAAGTATAAAGAGAATATTCTGAAATATAAAGTATATAAAGAGAATATTCTGAAGTATAAAGTATATAAAGAGAATATTCTAAAGTATAAAATATTTACAATAAATGTGAATATAATCTAAATTATTGTATTCATATCTTAATATCCCCCACAAACTCAAGGTGGTTGTGATGAAACCAACTTGAATTTGAAAAGAAGAGTGCAAAAGCATCCAAGAAAATGAGCCTTAGTGAAAAGGTCTGCCAGTTGATCAGCGGAGCCAATAAAAACCAAATGAACAGTTCCTTGTGCAACATAATGGCAAACAAAGTGATAGTCAACCTCAATGTGTTTAGTGCGTTCATGGAAGATATCATTATGAGCAATTTGCATGGCACTTTGATTGTCACAATAAATATTAGTAACAAGTAGTTAAGAAACACACATATCTTCTAGTAGCCAATGTAAATTAAGTAACTCTGATGTGGTGTCTCCAAGTGCTCGATATTCAGCCTCTGTGCTAGAACGTGATGGAACTATTTGCTTCTTGCTACGCCAAGAGATTAAGGAATTACTGAAAAAAAGACAATATCCAATGGTGGATTTACAATCATTAGAGTCCTCAGCCCAATCAGCATCAGAGTAAGCACGAAGTTTAAGAGATGAATGAGCAGAAAAGTGAAGTCCATGAAACATGGTACCTTTAATATATCGAATAATGCGAAGTACTGCTGCATAGTGAGTGGAGCGAGGCGTAGTCATAAATTCACTAACAACATGAACTGCATAGGCTATGTGATGAAAGCTTTAAAGTGTGCTTAATCATTAACATTTGTGGAATTATGGGTTCACTACAAGAAAATGGGTTTTTTTGTGACTGAAAATGGTGACTGATTATCAGTTGGTCACTAATATTTTTTATATTTGTGACTAAGTTAAGATAATAATCACTAATACTAATTTTTAATAATATAATATATAATTTGGATACAAAAATTATATTTTGTCACAAAAAATTTGTCACAAAAAATTTGTCACAATAAATTACTTAAATTTGTGATGGTCAAAATCGTTATAAATACATTAACTATAAGTTACTTGAAAAATATTAGTTACAAATGATAAATTTATGTCACAGATACTATTTTTTTCTTGTGACTAAAATTATGATTTGTAACAAATATATTTTGCAACTATATGCGGGTTGTTACTAAAAAAAATCACAAGATATAACAAAATTTTTTGTCACAATTAATCCACAATTGAACTTTAAAAAATAAATAAATTAGTTACAACAATATTAATCACTATAAATTAAGTGAATATTTGTGACTATAAGAAAATTTGTGACAAATAAACAAATTTCATCATTTATAAATCTGGTAACAAAAACACTTAAGTATCACCAAAATAAATGGTTTTTTTCTAAAGTACTAATCCATGATTTGTGAGATATAAAAAATTCATAATTAAGTTTTGATAAAAATCAGCATCATAAAATTAACATTTCTAAAAAAAAAAAACATTAATTTAGAATAATAGATTTAATACAATTTGATGAATTTCTTTTATTGTAAAATATCAATTTTAGTCCCCCAATAATATTTTAAATTTTAATCCTCAAATTTTGAATTCATTCAAATAGGATCCTAATGTCACATTTAAAATTTTCTATTTCATCTCTCAACCCACAAAATGAAGGCTCTGTTAGTTTTTTGATGGAACAATGCATCAACAGTCAAGGCTCATTTGCCATTGCTGAAGAGTATAAGTGGTGGTATGCTTCTGAATTTGATTTAAGGGCTAATTTACCACTGATAATCAAGTTTAAGGGGTATTTTGCATGATTGCCAGCATAAAAAATAAAAGCAGGGTACAGGTTCAAACTAATGAACCTTTTATAAAAGTTGGAGGATTGAGAAAGTTCTTTTTTGGGACCTAAATAAATGAATGTTAAGTTACATATTAAAGTGCTCATTCTAGAAAAGTTGGAGGATAAGATCTACAATTTTACTATTAAACAATTGCGGAAAGGGGCGGAAACCCCACACGGGTATAGTGTCAACACATACTTCATGGTTTCAATACTAAAAGCACGTCCAGCATCAATAATTTCTTTTTTTGAATCCAAGTCCTACTTCTTTTCTCATATAGTTTCCTAAATTCTTTTATAAATCAGATTTAGCTAGATGATGGGTCATTGCATTTGCTTGATGCCTCACGAGGAAAATGAAAAAACATAATCAATGTACACCAACCGTGGTATATGAGTATAACTGTTGAACAGTAACTCATTTCAGACAAAATAAGGTAAAAATAAATTTTAATTCTCCATAAAAATCATTTGGGTGCTACACTTTGATTATTTTTTTTGTTAACACTTCTATCCATGACTTCAAATCAAAATTTTTAAGTCTATAAAAACCAACTTAGCCTAATTCTTTTAGGTAGCACTAAACTTTGATAAACAATTACTGATGTCTCATTATTTCTTAGGTCATAAGATCAAACCCATGCTTTATTAGACAATTCAGAGGATGCATATGCTGATTTCTGAACCTCCAAAAACGTAAATGAAAGTCATTTTTTTGACAATCAAGAGTCTAATGACCAATAGTATAATAATTGAATACGATTGAATAAGAGTTCAAATGTTCACTTAGAAGACAAACGAAAGCAAAATAATTGAATCCTCTGCAGTAGACACTGAGACCATTAGTATAGCCACTAAATAAGGAGCTCCAATAAACACTTCATTTGAAGCTGGTCCATCATCACCTGAAAATAAAATGAAACCAAAATATGTCTCTTAAATTGGCAGTTGCAACAATAGCTAATTAGTAAAGTTCTACAAAAATTCTAAAGGACTACAAATATATATAATAGGAAATTAAAAGGTAGATATGCATAACTTAAAGAGACCTGAATTACTTATGTAATTCTTGGCCAAAGAAAACACCAATGGCAGCCCCAAATTCCCCCCTTTGAGCAAAACCTACCAAATTCTCCTTTTTATTAGCAGAAGAAAAATTAACAGTGTCCCATAATAGCAAAATATATTTTATGGATTTATCCTAACTCTATAATGAAAAGAATTGCAAGTAAAAAAGGAAAAACAAAAAGAGTTTATTCCTTACACATAGAATAGAGAACTCAAGCTCCTTGTTCTCACTTAATGCTTAAGCTCCTTGTTCTCACTTAATGCTTGCACTTCAATCTCAGTCTCTTCTTCCCCTTCTCCCCAATCTGGCACGAGGCAATTTCTTCAAAAATTGCACACATATCAGTCCAAAAACCAATTTACAAAGGAAAATAGGGGTTAACAATATGCCCATCTTTGCAATTGGTAACAATGCCTAATGTATAATTTAATTACTTGCAAACAAACCATCAATACAAAAACTAATTCAATAGTCTTCTAAAATTATAGAGTGGAAAAAGGATTGATAGTAACACATAAATATACCATTCTCATCAAATATCATCAATAAACACCAACTAATAAGGTTAAGATGACAAGATTGCCTTGGTTTGCAGGAAACTTCAAAGAAATATTACCTTAGATTTTGCCATCAAAACCTTAAATAAGAGAAACCATAATTTTCTTCAAGGGACGGTGGGAAGAAGGTTGATTTTAAAACCAAAAATTCTTCAAAAACCGATAAAAAAAAAAGCTAATGGATATTTATGTTTTACTGATAAAAAAAAAAGCTAATGGGTATTTATGTTTTCATTTTAAATTATTAAATTTTAATTTAAAATCTGATTTTTAAAGTTCGTTATAAATAAAAGTAGGCTACTTTTTCCTCCAGATTAATTTCCATAAGTAACCAAGTTTGTTCTGCTATTTTACTATTAATTACTGTAGATGAATAGTATGTTAGATATTTTTTATATTTTAAAATTAATATTTATATTACTATCTAATTACGAAGAAGAGTAGTATTGATTTTTTTTATAATTTTTAATATAATATTTTCTTTTGATGTTATTTATATCATTTTTATATATTCATTTGCTATTCTTTTATAATAATTTATTTCTTTTTTCTATAGGAACATCTTTAAATTGTTGGTGTGGAAAATGCTGAAGAGATTTTCTCAGCTCCTATTCCGTTCATAGAACATTTCAAGCAAGGGTTAGGATGACTCTCAAAAGAGGATATGCTCGAGGTCATTGGAATAGGAGGACTTTCAAATCGTTATATGGAACAATAATTAATTAAACCACCTGAACAACAGGCAACAAAACGTGCTGAGGATTTGGAAAAGAAGATTTCAAATTTGGAAAAGAAGATTTCAAATTTGGATGAGACTATAAAAATGCAAGATAATTTGATTAACCAGTTACACAATTTGGTTGAAAATCTGCAAAATCAAATTAACGAATACAAGAACACAAGGAGCGAAAATGAAAATGTTTATGAGATTATACCATCCAAATCACAACTCCAACATATTGTAGCTATTGTGATATAAGGGTCAAAATGATATTAGTTTCATTTTCATTTAGGGTTTATTTTGTTATTTCTATTTTTTAGATTTATTTTAGTTGAAAAAAAACAAAACTTAGTTATTATTAATTTTATTTAATAATATTTTTATTTTGAATACATTTTTATTTATTTCAATATTTAATTATTATTTTATAATTGAATTCCAAAAAATTTTAAATTCAACGTGTTTAAATTTATGGATATAATTTTATATTTTT